TCAAGCCTTGACCTTGGCAGAGAGCTGGGCTGTCCCTGAGCCAGGCTGCGGTGGCTGGAGAAGATGCTGAGCCGCCAGGACCAGCTCGCTGGCAGCAGCACGCGCGTGTGTGGGAAAACTTCAGGGTTTTAATGAGCAAATTTAATGCAGTGCCCTGCTGTTTTGGGCAGATTTCCATATCAATCCTGAATCTCTCTGTGCAGCCGCTTTTGGAGGTGGTGGTTATTTGTCTGTCTGTGGCAGCCCCATCACACCCGCGTCCTGGCTCCTCCTGGAGGTGCTGGTGGAGCTGGGGGCTCCCCGGGCTTTGCTGAGTGGGAATTTGGATCGGGGTCCCACCTTGGCACGGGGCTGGGGTCCCCCAGCACCCCTTCAGCCAGCTCACCCTTGCCATGCTGGCTGTTTTCCTCCTGGCTTTTTAAAAATAAAGGATGCCCCAATCTATGCACCTGCTCCCAGGGTGCTCCTGGGCGGCGGTGGGGTCCTGACAGCCCCCCGTGCATGATGTCGCAGCCCTAATGCTGTTGAAGGGGGGGGGACTGCACTGTCAGCCCCCCAGCCCGCAGCTGAGCTGTCACCGCTGCTAATTAACTCAACCAGTGCCCCAGCCGCCTGCGCTCTGGTTTGATGTATATTCACTAATGCAATTTTTTTCCCCTTTTCGAAGAAACTCGCCCCCGGTTTGCCGTGGGGGCTGCCTCCGAAGTGCACTAATGACATTTTGGGTTGGTTTAATGGTGTTTTTTTTTTCCTTTTCCATCGTGAAAGCGGAGATGGGGATGGCTGAGGGCCAGACCCCCGCCGGCTCTGGGGACAAGTCCACCGCAGCAGAGGCACTGGCACAGCCGTGGCCCTGCCAGTGATGACAGGGATGGGTGCCCTCAGCCCCCCCCGGGACCTCGCAGCCCCCCCGGGACTCTGCAGCCTCCCTGGGACCCTGCAGCCCCTGGGTTTCTCTCCTCTCCCTCTCTCCAGGCGACAACCCCAGCGGTTTGGGGAGGAGCAGGGCTGCAGGCTGGCCACACTGGGGTCCGTCAGCCAGACCCCAAACGCTGCCCGTCCCCTTTGCACCCTCCGGGGCCAGGCTGTGCAGGGGGATGCTCTGGGGTGTGGATGGGTGTTGGTGAGTGCTCCTGGGCAGCATCACTGGAGCCAGCACCCATCAGAGGCTCTGGGGAACCAGGGCGAGGGGTTTCCCTAGTTGGAGCCTGAGTGGTGTCAGCAAGCAGCTTCCCATTTGTCAATTTAATCGTGAGGCGAGTTAATCCGTGTATCCGATTTAATGTTCTAAGGCTTTCATTAATGAGTTAATGTGTGGAAAAGCGGGGGGGAGGCCGGGCGGGCTGCAGTGCGGTTGCTGACCCTGGGTTACGCTGCAGCTTTCTCCAGCGCCTACGGACGGGCCGGGATGTGCTGGTGGCTCCTGAGGCGGTTCACCGGCACCGAGGGGACCCCGTGGACTGGGCAGGCGGCATTTCCCAAACTGCAGCGGGTCACAGCTGACCTGGGAGCAGCGCAGAGCAGCAGCCTGGCAGCAGGGGCACCAGGCTTGGGAGGGACCGTTGTCTGTCACCGGGTGCGTGTTTCAGGGGGCAGCGCGGTTTTGCTCCATCAGCGGGCGCCTTCCCCTCCCTCCTCTCTGTCTCCAAATGGCCACTCTCCTGCCGTCGCTGGGGTGGGATTGTGCCGGGGCCGCAGCCAGCGGGGCCGTTGGTGTGTTGATAACGCTGCTCTTAATTGAGGACCATCTGCACTTGGTAATTTAATTTTTCCTGCATCTGCAAGGTTCCAACTCTATTTATCTGACGTCCTGAGGATTATTTAACTTACGAGCATCATGTTCCTCCAACAAAAGCACTCCAGGCAATCCACTGCAGCCCCTGCTAGAAGATATTTTAATAACATTGTCAACACCCCAGGAAAAAGGACACATAAAAACTGAAATTGCAAAGGGCGACAACAGAGCTGAGTTGCAGGGATGGCTTTCCTGCCTGCTTTTGCATAGCGGGTGGCCTGCTGTGAGTATTACTTCTATTATATTAAACTGTGCAAGATTAAGAACAAACCCTGAGCAACACAACCCCTCGTCACCATCAGGCCTGGCAGCATATTTTGTGTTTCAGCGCATTGACACACGTCTTGGCTTTGTCTTTGGATGCTTATTAGTAGTTAAACCCCCCAGCTGTGCCTTTGGAGGGCTGTGAGTATGGAATTGAACTGCATCTTCTTAAAAAAAGAATAATAATTGGACGCTAGAAAGTCTGTTAGCCGTGGTATGGGGGAAGACTTGGGCATCTGGTTCACGTGGCACCAGCGGGAGCTGTTGCGTGCTGCTAGCAGCAGCCTCTGTCTTTTCCCACCCCGCTCCTCCCACCTTCTGCTCCATTTCTTCACCCGCATTTTGCAGCCGCCCTGTGCTTGGGGGCAGGCAGAGATGCAGTCAGGGATGCATGCAGGAGACACTGCTCTGTTCCACACCTAAACCCTGGGGAAGCCTTTTTTTTCCCCCAGCCTGGTCCAGCAGCACCTGGGTCCACACGCAGACTTTAATTAAGCATTTTCCCCGCCCCTAAAATGTAGGTCAGTCGTAATTAGTGTGAATCCTGCTGCTGCCGGCTTCGCTGTTAATTAAGCTCCCGAAGTGGAGGTCGATGCCTCAGAGGTTCAGCTTTTTCGGCTGCTCACCAGATGCTTTGTGATCACTTCTGCTCAGCTGGTCCGTGCTCAGGGCCAGGGTCATGTTCTCCCTCCCTCCATCCCATCACCCTTGGAGCACAGCCACAGTGGGGATGTGGCCCCATGCCTGGGCACAGCCGCCCCTCATGGCACATGCTCTCCTCTGAGCAGGAGGTGCTGGTTTAGCTGTGGAAGGGCACTCATTTGGTGCCTATTTTAATGTGAAGCTCCTGGTGTCCTCATCCCTTGTCATTATCCATCACACCAAGCGTCCTCATCCCCTCAGAGGGCTCCTAGTGCTCGTGCCGAGATCCGAAGCAGCTGGGGGCTCCAGGGCCAACGGGGAAGTGCAGTGTTTTCCTTCCTCGGCAGCTCCTGGCACGGTGTCCCTGGCACGGTCCCTGGCAGGTGGCTTTGGCAGCTGGTTGCCACCGGTGGAGACGGCGTTCAGATGAGCATCACCCAGGTGCGGAGCCCAAGGCTCCCAGCCCCTGCACCTTGCAAGGATGTGCCGGTGCCTCCAGCGTGGCACTGGGACCTGCAGGCAGGACCCGGGGTTTTGGAGGGCGAGCTGAGCTCAGAAAGCAGATCTGCTGCGGGAGGGAAATCCGCCCCGTCTCACCCACGAAGCGGGTGCCTGGCGAGGCCGTTCTCCATCCGCTGGGATGATGGTGAAGGTGCAGCTCCTCCGCTCGGGTTTTCTCAGCGCTGATCGCCATGACGTGTTTCCACCCCGGCAACGGCTGGTGGCCACGCTCGCCCGGGAGCCCCTTGGGGCAGCGGGGACGCTCCGTTTTAAGCACTTCAAGCCTTCAGTGGCTCCAGGGAAAGCCTCGGCACGGTGAGCCGGTCCTGACCCCCGGCCGGGTCCCCAAGCGCTTACCGGCTCCCCCACCCCACAGCCTGGTTCCCTATTTTTACCGCTCTCGGGCTGTGAATCACTTCGCTCCCTCATCTCGGTCGCTGCCTTTGAAGGTATTTATAAACCACGATCGTCTCCCCTGCGCCTGCTTTAGCAGACTGTGTAAATTTAGCGCTCTGGCTCACTCCTGCCCTCTCCTCCTCGTCCGTATCCTCTCTGTTCAGTGAGCATAGATGGGCAGGAGCCGAGATGCTCCCTCTGCACTGATTAAAAACATGAAAACACCAACAAAGAGCCTCATCGGCACCGTCCTGGCGTGGTGATGCTGGACACCAGCATCCCGAGGTGCCCGGTACTTGGTGCCGAGAGGCATGGGATGCACGGGGGTGGCTCTTGGCACGCGTATGCCACCGTTGCCTGGGAGGGTTTTGGTTGCACCGGAGCTGGTGGCAAGTCTGGTGGTGGGCAGGGGTGAGCCAGGGCAGAGCCGGGGAAGGTCAAGGTCAGGGCAGCCCTGGTTGTGCCACGGCCATGCACCTGAGAAGGGGAGAGCACCCCATGCCTGCTCCGGAGCAAAGAGGATTTAAATCCATCATCACCAGAGCAGCAAGGGGCTGCCCTGTCCTGCCGGTGCACAGTTCCTGGCCGTGTTTTCATCATGTCCTGCTAATCCCTGAGTTAATTTCTGGGGATCTCACAAGCAAATGAATCTCTGCTCCTTCCCCTGGGACCGCAGGGTCTTTAGGATTGTGTTTGATTAATGTTTGGAGCTCGCCAGGTGGTCTGTCCCCTGCCCTCGCTGGCCGACACAGCTGCCCAGAGGGGCACCAATGGGCTCCCCCCATGGCCCCGCACTGCTCGGCCAGGACACACTTCGGGTGATCACAAAAAGTTTCCTGTTGGGTTTGAGGAAAGCCCCACAGAGCAGCACAGAGGGGTACTGCCCCCTCTCCTCCTCCTTCCTACCTTTTTTGCTAAAAACAAGCAAAATAGGAAAAAAACCCCACAAAACTGAGAGAGAAACCGATGCTCACTGGAAGAAAAATGGGTACAAACAGCAGAAAGAGGAGTTATTTTTAAGTTGCTGACTGAATATGGAGTAGCTGGCTGTCTCTTTTGAAGGCCATTAAGATGGGATGCTGACGCTCATTAATTTATTGCCAGAGGTCCTCTAGCTCGAGCCCCACACTGCACTAAATCAGCCTCGCAGATGCGAGGATTTAAGTATCCAAACAGATGTAGCTCACAGCAGACACAGGGAGGGATCTCCTGGCTGGGCCATGGTGCAAAAGGCTCCGACAGGTCCTGGGAGCAACGTTTCAAAAAGTGGAGAGAGGAGATCAGCCCGAGGGCTCAGGATGGGGACCAGGGTGCTCTTCTCTTCTCTTCTCTTCTCTTCTCTTCTCTTCTCTTCTCTTCTCTTCTCTTCTCTTCTCTTCTCTTCTCTTCTCTTCTCTTTCAGAATAAGGTGCTGACGGTGGATGGGGTGAAGGTGAAGCTGCAGGTATGTCCCCGTGGCCCCAATAGCAGCTCCCTCACCTCCCACCGTGGGTGTTTGGGGTTGGGTAAAGCCCCTCGGCAGAGGAGCACCCCAGAATCGAGTCCCCCATCTCCATCCTTTGCCATCACGTCTCCCGCCCCGGGACAGCCTTAGGAGCGCTTTCGGGTGCTCTGTCCCCGAGGCTGGGGGCTGTCCTGGCCACGGTGACCTCCCCATCCCAGTCCACCCACCTCCTCAAGGCTCAGTGACAGCAGCCGGAGCCGCACCCATGGGGTTTGCCCGGTGCTTCCAGGCAGCTCCTGCTTTGGAAGGGCCGGAGGAGGGTTAGAGGGACTGAGATCCTCCAAAGGGATCCACGTCCCCAGGCTCAGCCACATCCAGCTGCAGGACACACAGCTCTTGTGTTCCCCTGCACCCAGAGCCGCTCTGGCCCCCCTGACCCCTCTGCCAGGAGCTCAGTAACGACATTAGCACTGATCTTCCCCTGACAGCAGAAACGAATCGCTGCATTAAAAACTGATAAATTAAATTAGCAGGTCCCCATGCATCCATCTGCTGGATGGATTTTTCTGATTAAGGGACACGTTGGGAGCCCTTTGCCATGCACCATCGTCTCCGCGCGCTGAGGAGCGGGGAGGCGCCGCTTCAATATTATCACCCCTGTCATTTTTCCTATTGCTGTCTCTAGAAGCAAAAGGCTGAAGGAGGTTCCTGGGGGTCGCACTGTGCCGGCTGGTTTGGTGCTGGTTTTGGTGCTGGGTGGGTGTCACGACCCGCACTGGGAGCCCAGAGAGTTGTAAAAGTTCTGTGATCCCCTTGGGTTCAATTAAGGTGAAACGACACCAACCAACCAGGTAAAATGTTTTATTTGCAGTAGAAACAGCTTAAACTTGGAAAAGGATAATGAACAATGTGGTCTATTGTAAATCTGTAAGAAAATAAAGAAAGGAAAGGAAAGAGAAAGGAAAGGAAAGAAAAGAGAAAGTCAAAGAATCTGGATCATCACCCCTGGCTCCAGCGTTGTTGCAGGTCCAGTGATCTTGGGTGGTGGGTGCACACCCAGTGAAGTTTCCTATTGCCTTTTAAGTTCATTTTATTAGCTGATTTTCATACTAGATGAGGAAAGGCAGGTATTCCATGAACTCATTTCCATGAGAGACGAGGAAAAAGGAGGAGCAGGGGTTCTGCACACGCACTGAGGGGGAATGGGGTGCACCATTGAATCGGTGGTCGTGCTCACTGCTTCCACCTTTATTTTTCCCTCAGTTCCCACAAATTCTTGCTGCCTTTCCTGCTTCTTGAACAATCATTCAGTTTCAGGGGCAGGATGCTCACCTCTTATCAGGCCTTTCACCTGAACATCCAGTTTCACTCAGCCCATGTTTCCCAACTTTGAGGTTTATCTCAGGAGTTTGTCAATACAATCACAAGGGAGGGGGGGGTGTGCACCTTTCGATAACCTCTGAGCCTCCTTGGGTGACATAAGGCCACAGATCGACCTTGAGGTTTTCTGTCGATGAATGTTTGAGGTGTTAATTCCTTCAATTCCTTCCAGTGGGGTCCCTCAGCCCATGGCTGACCCCTCTGCTCCCGTCTGCCTTCCAGATCTGGGACACGGCCGGGCAGGAGCGCTTCCGCAGCGTCACCCACGCCTACTACCGGGATGCCCACGGTAAGCACGGCCACCTCTGCTTCCCAGGGTCGGGGGGCAGCCCCCTCCCGAGCCCCAGCGCTAGCCCGGGTGAGTCAGGCATCACCCAGAGCCATATCCCCGTTGGAAGCAGGCACCGAGCCTCCGCTTGGCCGCGCTCCTGCCCGGCACTAACGTGCTATCCCTCTCTCTGCAGCCCTGCTCCTGCTCTACGATGTCACCAACAAAGCGTCCTTCGACAACATCCAGGTAACGGTGGCACCCCCGGGCCCCTCCTGCCCACCCCGGGGTGCCACGGGCTGGGTGGTGAGTGCAGGTCAGCGCCGGGGAGCGGGTAGGCGCTGTGGGGGATGTTGGAGGTTGGAACCAGGATTGTTTCCAGAAGGGCTGCGGGTAATGGTGAGCACCCAATCGCAGGTCCACCTGCGAAGGCACCACAGGACAGGCAGAGATTTTCCCCTTCATAGCAAATAAAAGGGGTGATGGCGTCACTTCACCAGCCAATTAACGTTGTGTGTAATTACAGCACTGGCTGGAGAACTCACTCTGGTAAACGTGCTCAGGCAGATTTACTGAGCGAGGTGCTTCCTCATCCTCCTCTGAGCCTTCAGGGCCTGACGGGACCAACCCTGGCCAGGGCAGAGGGTTGCATCCTGCTGTGTGCTCCTCACGCCCAGCAGCCCTGCTCTTCCTGCCAGCCTTTGTGGGGGTCCCTGTGCCCCCTCCCTGCAGACCAGGCTCCTCCGGCTGATGCTGAGCCCTCACACAGGTGCTTCAGGGGTGTTGGGGAGCAGGATCTGGTGGAGGTGGGGGAGAGCAAATGCTGCCCATGAGCACATGGCCTTGGCATCCCCTCCCTTGCCCCGCACGGGTACTGGGGGCCACCTATGCCAGCGCCAGCTCCGCTGGGAGCCTGGGGAGCAATTAGGCTTGAATGAATAGGATGTTAATTGCTCATGTCCCAGACACAGAGTACACGGTGTGTGTCTGCGGTGTCTGCAAAAACACCCTGTTCAATAGCACAGGGGGTCCATGTGGCATTAACACCGCAGGATGGGGAGCCCCTGGGGAGTCCTGCACCCCCCTGACCCCCCTGGGCCTGGCTGGCTGGAGTTGTCCCTGCGCCGGAGCATCCTTCTGTTGGTGGCTCCACAGTCCCAGAATCCCAGAATCATCTCAGCTGGAAAAGATCTTTAAGCTCCTCCAGTCCAACCATGAACCTCACACTGACTGTTCCCAACTCCACCAGATCCCTCAGCGCTGGGTCAGCCCGACTCTTCAACCTCTCCAGGGATGGGGACTCCCCCCTGCCCTGGGCAGCCCATTCCAACGCCCAACAGCCCCTTCTGCAAAGAAATACTTCCTCATATCCATCCCGTGGCAGGGGATGGGGCATGTCCTGCCACCCTGCTCCCATGGCACCAGGAATGTTTCCTGCAAGCTGGGACCAGCCCCAGCAGTGGCATTTTCCAGCCTGGGGAGCTGGATGGCTCGAGGAGCTGCTGAGCCTAACGGAGAGTGAGTGTTGGTCGCTCTCTGGGCTGCAGGCCTGTGCTAAGGTTGTGATCCTGCAGCAAGACAGAAAAAACACTTGGAGGTTTCACCCTGCTGGGTAACACGGCCCTGCTGGTCAGCACTTTGCCATGAGCCCAGAGCTGGTGCTCAGAGCTGGGGCACAGGCAGCAGGGTCAGGGATTACAGGGAATTAGGGCAGATTTGATGAGATTAGGTTGGATGAGAGGGCAGGGAAGTTTGGGGAGGCAGGTTCAGCCGCCTGCTGGGATAAGTGTGCTTGGCACGGGGGCAGGACATGGGTGGGGGCCTCATCCTGGAGCAAACCCTCGGCCTTATCCTGCAAAAGAGGTTTAGTCTTAATGTCCCAACCGAGGGGGAATTTGGGTGAAAGTCCTACAAGCACCCGTGGTCAGACGAAGCAGTCAGCAGGGCTGAAAGGCTGCTGTTAGCCTTGAAAATTGTCAGCAGCCAAAGCATGGTCCCCCGGGGTTTTTGTTTTCCATCTAACCCCCGGCCACCCCCTCCCTGTGTCCACATATCGCCCCCAGCATTGCCTGGGGACAGCAGCGAACCCCAGAGGGTGCCCAGGACTGGGGCAGCACCCCATCCTCCTTGTCCTCTTCCTCATCCTCTCCCAGGGCTGTGCTAACACCTCTCTCTGCCTCCCTCCCTCCAGGCTTGGCTGACAGAGATTCACGAATACGCACAGCAAGATGTGGTCCTCATGTTACTGGGAAACAAGGTGAGCCCGGCCCCATGGCTTCACCAGAGCCTCCTCTTCCTCCTGACAGTCCCACAACGGAGCCATGGGCAGGGGAGCTTGGGAGGGCATGAGGGTTGCCTGCTGGTGACCTTGCAAATCATCCCAAATTGCTCTTGGCCATTCCTGTCGGCAGGTGGATTCAGCCCAGGACAGAGTGGTGAAAAGGGAAGATGGAGAAAAATTAGCCAAGGTAGGTGAGGTGTCTGTCTGCTGCGGCGGCGGCTGGCATTACACGACCTGCCCAGGGATGTGCGAGTGTGCCAATGTGTACTCCATAATGTACCCTGGTGAAATGGTTAACTGGAGCCCAGTCTGTCCCAAAATACATTTGGAAGCACTTTGCTTTTCTTCCCATGTCTTGCTTTCCTCTTCCTCTTCATCCGCTCTTCTTCCTCTAAGCTTCCATTAATGTTTTCCACTTCATTGTCCTCAAAAATAATTTCTGAAGCTGCGTAAGAAACGCCTGAGCTGCGAATGAGGGCTCAGCTCTTCCTGCCCACCACGGCAGAGCTCCTATCCCAGGGCAGGGTCCGAGCTCCCACGGCAAGCGCTGACGTCAGCCAGGGCTCGGCGCGAGCTGGGGGGCTCTGGGACCACACTGGGGGACGTTTCTGAGGCTGGTGTGTCTTGTCCCACAGGAGTACGGAGTGCCCTTCATGGAGACCAGCGCAAAAAGTGGCCTCAACGTTGAATTAGCCTTCACAGCCATCGCAAAGTGAGTGAGTGGTGTGGTGGCCGTGCTGGGCACCTCTCCTGCAGCGGGGCCAGCAGGCTGAGAGAAAGGCTTGGCACCAGCACCCAGCTTTTCACTCCCCAGGCTCCCACCTTCAGCTTTGTGCTGGCAAGTACTTGCCATCTCGCATGAGATATGAAATGTCTCATCAGGAGGAGTTTTAGCAAACTATCTAGGCTAGGTTGAGTTCAACTGAGCTGGGCCAGGCAGCTAGAAAACAGGCAGCATAGGGAGAATTCAGTAGGCAGAAAAGTAACATGTTTTTCCCCTTCCTGCAGAGAACTGAAGCACAGGTCCATGAAGCTGCCCAACGAGCCCAAATTTAAACTCCATGACTACGTGAAGAAGGAAGTGAGAGGCTCGGGCTGCTGCAGGTCCTAATGCGCTCGGTGCATTTGTACAGACTCATGCCAAGTGTTTGTGCGCCGCGCTCTCTCCTCGTGGACGTGTGCATGTCTGTCTGTCGTGTCTGTATCTGCCTAAAAGGTGAGCCCAGACGTGGGGAATGGAAGAAGCAGCAGCAGAAAAAGCTCTCCAGGCTGCGGCGGGCGCTGGCTGTGCTGCAGCCACCTGCTAGGCGCTGCTCCCCGAGCGCCCACTGCATCCATCCACACCACGAGCCCTCCGGCTTCCCTGGCCAGTCGCTCCCACCCGGCTCACAGCCGCTCATCCCCTTGATGGGGGGCTCAGGAGGGGAGTGGGCTGGTGTCTCCTGTTGTGCCCCCCAGGGCTGTTTCCACCATTCAGCAGCAGCCAGGAGTATTATGAGGCTTCTTTAACGATAGTAAGAATTACAGTGTGATTAAGGGCAATGAATGCTTCTCCCCACCAAATATCTGGGTAGGAAAAAGCCCCAAATTCCCCTTTCTTTCCCCACGTACCTGGAATTCAGCTGTTCAGAGCCTGGGGCACATGGAGACTTGTTTTCAAGGCAACCAGTTTTGTAGTTGCTTACTTCTGTCTGTCCATCTTTCATGTGGTGTGACACACCTCCCCGATGAGGGTTTCTCCTCTTCCCCATAGAAGACAAGCGCTTAGCTGTTGGTCTGAGTAAGCTCCTGCTAACCTTCTGTTGTACAGAGATTTCCTGAATGTTTGTCTGTTTGGTAAAGGCTTTGGTTCTCTTACTTCTGCCGTTTCTGGTACTTTAATTCAGAAGAAATCTAATGTATTGCAGCTTATTCTAAATACCTTCATGTAGGTGTGATGATAGAGTTTTTAGACTGCAACAGTGCTTTGATATCTTCAAAGTTCTCTTGGGACAGCTCTTTCTTTTAACTGAAGAAAGCTGGGGGGAACGCTGTAGGCATTGATTTTACAGGTTTCAGACTCTCCTGCCAGCTCTGTTCAATGGACTCCTCACCCCTTTGGTCTGTTTTTTTTTTTTTTTTTTTTTTTAAAGCTGCACTTCTTAAGTACAAATTCGAATCTGGATCAAGTGTTTGGCCTTTGGCAGTTTTCTAATTTGAAAATTCCAGGTACCTGCTACACTCAACCTCCCCACACTGCCCTAAATTGACCATTTAAAATAAAATAACTCATCCTTTGCTCCCCGGCTCTCTCAGCAGTTAGTTCAGATGATCCTACCCCGTGTTTTGCTGGGGGTGTTAGCTCCAGCCCTCCACAAAAGACTCCCCTGCAGCTACCACTGGGATTCAGGCAGGCAAGGACTCCTCACAGCTACAGGAAAATGAGCAGCTCACCTGTTATTGCACTGTAACTGAATGAAAAAGGATCCTAATATCTGAGACTTTCTCTGAAATAACTGCAACAACTCTCTTCACCTTCACCCGCTCTAAGAGGTGGCAACACCTGCTACGAGCACACTTAAAATGTTTGCGAGTAGCAGCAGCACACAGGGAAGGCTCTGAAAGTTGATTGGGCACTGTCAAGAAGCACAGAAGAATCTGTAAACTCAGTTTCCCGCTGCTTTGGCGAGCTTCGCTGTGCTCCCACGGCTGCTGCCTTGTCTCCTACACGAGGTGGCTTATCTTAGAGCCACCTCCCTTCTCCTTCTGGGCTGCATAGCACACGCTGGCTGAGGTGAAATAAAAAAGAGTGGGATTTTGTGCAGTCCCCGAGCGTGATAAGTACCAGTATTTTGGTATCGCAGGTGTGCAGGGGAGGGCCAGCCTGGCAGAGCCACGGGACAGCAGTTGGGCAGCTCCAGGACCTGCCCTGGGCCCAGGTCTGACTGGATCTATTTTCTCTAAGCCTGATCTTAGCGGTGCAGCAGCAGCCCCCATCCTGAGGTACCAGTCACTGCACGGACATGCTGCCCCAGAAGCTACAGGGAGTCGTAAAAATAAGCAGCAATATTCTTAACACTCCCATCAGGTTGATGCCTTCTCTCCCTGGCAGGGCGGGACAGCCTTGCATCTGTCTTGAAGAAACAGCTGCTAACTCTCTTTACTTCTTCAGTGTGGGACCAAAACCAATTTAAAAACTAATTTAAATAAGGAAGATGTAAATGTTACCCTTTGGAGTACTTTCGATATGCCTGTTGGGAGCCAACTCTACTACAGCAGAGACATCACAACCGCATTTCTGGTATTAAACCTGAACTTTAAGCCAGACTCAGCCCCCAGTCTCAAGTTCCCTCTAGACTGGTCTCCCAAAGCCCACGCTCTGACCTCGCCCTAAAGCTCCTCCTCAGACTGTTATTTGGCATCTTCTTACATGGGCCTTTACTGCCACCAAGCGATAAAGAATTAATTGTTCAGAGGACTCGGCATTACATGCGACTTCTCATTTTTGCTGGCTCTTGTTTACAGCTTTTGTTTCATTCCTGTTAATAAAAATTTTTTAATAATCTTTGTGGCTACAATGGCTTTTTTGATCATCTAACATACACACCTGTACTGTTTAATTATTCACAGTTCAGCCCATTCTTGAACCCATCTAGACCCTTCCATTACCAGCTCTGGGTGCTCCAGTGCCCCCAGAAAAAATTAAAAGGGTGCTGGGCTAAGCCAAGCCACAGCACGTTTTAAGACACTCTGGTTCCCTTAAAGCAAATAGTAGTAGTAGAAATGGTCTGCTGAGTGCCCAAATACAAAGTTTGAAGTTGGTCTGTGGTTTTATGTGCTACCCGTGGGACTGGTGAAAAACAGAAGAAAAAAAAAAAATGTCTTTTGAAAACTTTATTAGATCTGTAAGGCATAAAATTGACCTAATACAGAAACCAAAGTGGAGATCCCCTCTGTTTACCTTAAGCTACCCCATGTGGTAAAGTCGATGACTTTTGATTTCTTCAACTTCGGGCAGTTCTGTTGCTTGTTTTAAAAACCGACTTCCACGTTGTACAACGTGAGAAACAGCAGCTCCCCCGTTTGATACAGCAACCCTAAGAGTGCTTTTCTTAGCCATACTCGGAGCCGCACCGCTTGCTCCGCTACACAACCCCTTAACAGCAACTGCTCCAGCCCTAGTTTCAGCCACCCGCGACCCACTTGTGCTTCCCCTGCAGCTGCAGATCCCAGCAGTACCTTACAGGAACGCAGGGTACGCCAGAAACAAGCGACGCCGCATTTTACCTCACCGAAAGCCCGGGAGTTGCCCGCCCCGCCTGCAGGCAGAGCGGCCGGTACCCGAGCCGCCCCACGC